GCGCAGGCTCCGCGGCGCTGCGTCTCCTTGGGCGGGGGTTTCGGGAGGGCGCTTTTGCGCTAGCGCCACCTGTTGGCTGGAGGTGCGCACGGCGGAGGGGTCCGGGCTTCAACGATTAAGAAACTATTCATTAAGTTGCGTCAAATCCCCCAACGGCCACAAATGGGGAAGGAAGGGGACAGCAGAAGAAAATCAGATTTCACCCATGTTACAGCTGCAGTGTGTTTGGTTAATCTGAGAAAAACCCCGTGCATTTACATGGGCAGGCTGTAGCCCAAATGAGAACTGCGACAACCGCGTACAGTAACAGAATTTAACACCTGTTAAATTTTATATTTTAGGCTCCCTAGCAGCGCGCAGAGATCTCCACACCACGCTGCCAGCGGCGACAGGGTTGGGAAGGATTTCAACCCCCCTAGTTTTTCTTAACTCGGGCACAGCTAAGCCCAATTTCTGGCACTGGGTCCACAGAGTTTAACGAGTTGTCAGCCAACATGGTTTTTGGATTAAACCATAAGTAGGTGAAAAAGGCCAGATAGTAGACAGTTTGTACTTATGTTTACACCTATGAGAGTTAATTAATAATTTTTCAGGCAGGTGAAGTCTTCCCGTGTCATCCATTGACCAGCAGCAAAACTGGGCTTCAGCAAGAAGACCACGGAGAAGCTGCGTTTCTTTACTGGTTTATGGTTACCAACGTTTCCAACGGCAGCTGAAAGCAGAGGCTGTTGCACTACCTCTTCCACCACCGCTTCTGCAACGCAAACGCTGCCTGAGCAGGCTCTGAAGTTCCCAGCTGGGTGCCAATGCACTGAGCTGCTGTTGCGTTTGTCACCCTAACTTATTCCTTGACATGGGATTAGCAGCAGCTGCTGCTACTTCAAAACAGCTGCTGAGCTTTCCCCACTTCTCTTTCTAAATAAAAAAAATATAAAAATGTTGTACTTCCTTCCTTGTTTTGGAGACAAATCTGGTTGGTGGTTAACCATATTGCAGCATGGCCTTACTCACCTATATTAGTTTACTTCGCTCTGTGTTCAACTCTTACTTATTTAGTAGATGCACAGCAGATAAAATGACACCTATCTGCTCAAGCTGTTTGACATTAGTGTGATTTCCTATTACATTTTAGTGTTGTGTCCAAATTCAAGATGTGTTCATGCAGAAAATCAAGCAAACTTTTTTTGGTTGAAAGAGAAAACTTCATAGTATGATTTAAGAAGGCTTTGATTTTTGTTAAAGCTTTGCAAGAATAAAAAATACCACACTTCCTGCTAGTAAAAAAAAAAAAGTCAAGAACAGCCTGTGTCCTTATTTTCAAACGAGTATGCCTTTACATTTACATTTCTCTGACTCAGCAGACGGAGAATCGCTTCCATCCCCAAAAGTGCAGTGCATTGTATAAGGAACAGAGGGGAACCTCACCAGTCATGAAATATTTATTTATTTACCCGGAATAATTATTTCTACAAACTCATCAAGCTCCATCTGAAAATGTCTTCTGTTGTCCTTACAAGTAAAAAAAACTTATGCTGTTTACAAACTCTTCTAAAAATTTCCTTCAATGAATTTATCCCCCTTAAATCGTGCTCCCTTCTTAAATCATTGTACATCAGACTTTTAAACAATTATTCTCTATCATAGATTTAGCTTTCCTAGTCTCATCTGATGTACAAGCTTATAATTATCTTCACCATTTTTGTTTCCTCTTTGTACCTGTTCTTTTGAATTTTTCTTCAAATAAATGATCAGAATTGTACAGTAAAGCAGGTAAAAATTCCTCCACGCTTGTAGAATAATGTCAGTATTTCCCAGAAATGCTTTTCTTTGTTCATATCAGGATAACAATCTTCTTTCTCACAACTGTATCAGGTGGTTAGCTCAATCATTCTAAGATCCGAATCACTCATTCCCAAATGGTGACTTCCCAGCTTGAGGTAAAAACATCTGCAAGCCCCTAGGGTTCAGAGTTGCAGATATTTACGTGTCTGATTTCACTGCAACTACACAGAACTAGATCGCTTAAATGCCTTTGCTGATCTGGCCTTAAATACATCCATATATCTACTCACGAGTTTCAGTCCACTCTCGGAAAACTGCGTTCCGAATCACACAGTGGCTGCAGGAGGCCATCTAGTCCAAACCCCCTGCTCCAGCAGGGACACCCAGAGCCGGCACCCAGGACCACGTTGAGATGCTTTTTGAGTATCTCCAAAGAGGGAAACTCCACCACCTCTCTTGGCAACCATTTCCAACCTGTCTCCTACGTTACCAGAAAGCCTCTGCAAGATAATATCTACTAAAGAAAAGCACACATTTGAGAGCAGTAAAAAAGCAGTGGTAGATACATGATTACATTCTCTAAATTAAGCCATAGGTTTACTCTGCTGTTACAGACCGAACTGTAACAGCCGGGGAGAGTTGGCACCAGCCCTTTACCACTGTCTTTCCTCATACAAGAAGGTAACACCGCTGTTATCAATGCCACCGAATCACAGACAGTGATGCCCGGAGTTTTGAACACCATGTAACTCTAAAACAAGCAAAGATTTGTCTAGATTTGAAAAAGGGGAAGCATCTATCTGTGCTCATCATACCAGGTAACAACTGCTGTTTGGCACAACTGGTCCTTACACACGGTATTTTAGAGGTGGAGTAAAGCTCTTTAACAAAATAAATTTCACCGTTCAAGATACTGCTGAGGTTTTCAACATAACCTAAGTATTTTTAGTAAGTGGTTAACAGAGTAGTCCAGTGATGACTGGTGTTCGTCACAGGCTGGTATTGGGACTGGCACTGTTTAACATCTTTGTCGGCAATGTGGACAGTGGGATTGAGTGCACCCTCAGCAAGTTTGCCAAGGACACCAAGCTGAGTGGTGCGTCAACACGCTGGAGGGAAGGGATGCCATCCAGAGGGACCTGGACAGGCTTGAGAAGTCCAACAAGGTCAAGTGCAAGGTCCTGCACATGGGTTGGGGCAATCCCAAGCACAAACACAGGCTGGGTGGGGAACAGATTGAAAGCAGCCCCGAGGAGGAGAACTTGGGGGTAGTGGGGGATGAAAAGCTGGACATGACCTTGGCAGTGTGCCCTCACAGCCCAGAAGGCCAACTGTACCCCGGGCTGCACCCCCAGCAGCGCTGGCACAGAGTGAGGGAGGGGATTCTGCCCCTCTGCTCAGCTCTGGTGAGACCCCCCCGGGACTCCTGCGTCCAGCTCTGGAGCCCTCAGCACAGGACAGAGCTGGAGCTGTTGGAGCGGGGCCAGAGGAGGCCACAAAAATGATTTGAGGGCTGGAACCCCTCTGCTGCCAGGAAAGGCTGAGAGAGCTGGAGCGCTCTTCTTCCCTGGAGATATTCAAGACATGCTGTTCAGCCTGGAGAACAGAAGGCTCTGGGGAGACCTTAAATCAGCCTTCTAGTACCTGAAGGGGTACTAGGGCCTACAGGAAAGCTGGAGAGGGACCTTTTACAAGGGCACGTAGTGACATAACAAGAGGTAATGGCTTTAAACTGAAAGAGGGTAGATTTAGATTAGATATAAGTAAGAAATTCTTTACTGTGAGGGTGGTGAGGCACTGGAACAGGTTGCCCAGAGAAGCTGTGGCTGCCCCCTCCCTGGCAGTGTTCAAGGCCAGGTCGGACGGGGCTTGGAGCAACCTGATCTGGTGGAAGGGGTCCCTGCCCATGGCAGGGAGAGTGGAACGAGATGATCTATAAGGTCCCTCCCAACCCAAACCATTCTCTGATTCTTTGAAAAGTATGATATTGTCTATTTTAAGAAACAAAGAGCACAGTAACTACCAGCCTGAGAAAAGATAAGGCATTTCACACTAGATTAACATTAGACATTACACAAAATTCATGTAGATTGATTTAAGGATTCTAACTATCATAAAGTATCTTATTAAGAACAACAATATAATTTCTTTCACACTACTCAAAGAATTATCAAAAGTACAGACAAGATAACTGTCTACAGAAAACATTTTCATATCCCAGTTATCCAGTGATGAAACAAATTTTTAGTTTCTGTAATTTTCTGAGATACTATTTTTTTTTTCTCTTGCAGGTAATGCAAGAGAACCTGGGAGTAGCAAATGCCACGTTCACCACATGTGAGGTAGCATTTAGCCTCCAAACAAATTGACAATTTTGAAATGAAAAGTTATTGCTATACAGTATAATGTGCACTTCCCTCCCTTCCTTTAAGCCTTCTTTCAGTCAGACAACAGATTTAATTAATTTTTTACAAGAAAATTAAATGGCACTTCATTTAACTTTTAACAGAGTAACTGTTTAAACTGATAAACATTGGCCAAACCACAACTGACCTCACAGTATTAAGAAGTTATCGAAGCGTAAGAAAGTGCCTCCAAGATCTTTCTTAGCACAGCCTGTGCTAGAACTGAAGCTCTTGGAAGAGCCTGGAGCAAACCAGTACCCTGAGTTTCATTCTCTGGATCAAAACACTGGATGCATCCACTACCATCCATTGTTTTGGAGACAGCAGGGGAATGTAAAGCAATGAACAAATTCAAGACGTGCAAACATCTCCAGAACCGAGTGCCAAATTGCAATTCCCAAGCTTACATTCCAAGCTTATGTTGCCGCTTATGCTTTTCCAGAATTTTTTTGGTAGGCAGCGTCACATTACACTTTCCACACTTGTACATTTTTTTGTGTGTTTTTACATGCTTCTGTAAAGCACGTTTATCTAACGTAGAAAATTTACACCTTCTGCAGCGCAGCTTTAAATGAGTCATTAAGTGGCGCTTCAGGTGGCTCGATGTGCGGAAAGCAACAGCGCACTGACCGCACTTGAACGGCTTCTCCCCTGTATGAATTCTCAAGTGTGGCTTCAGGTTTCCATTGTGGGCCGTGGAATAGCCACACTCCTCACACGTGTATGTTTTGACAGGTAGCTGCTCGTGTTTGTAGGCACAGCTGGTAGATGAGCTTTCCCCACAAGAGTGCGAAGCCAGATGCCGTTTCAAGGCCAGCCATTTGTTTGTCGAATAGTCACAGTTCCTGCACTTGAGATGCTCCGTATTAAAATGCGTGACTCTATGCCTTTTCAGGTGACTGGAAGTACGAAACTTCTTCTGACAAACACTGCAGCTGTAAGGTTTCTCACCTGTGTGAGTTCTTACATGTAGTTCAAGGTTGCTTAAAATGTAAGTAGTGTACTCGCACTCTGCACACTGATAGAATCGCGTCTGACTTTGTGCTAGCAAATCATATTCTTTGCCCCTCTGGAAATCTGGCTGTACCCCACAGACTTCCGAACTGAGCAAGGAATGGATGCTATTTGAACCTTCCAAGGAACCAAAATCTCTTTCTGGACACATGCCTACCTGCATTTCATGATGCAATTCAAGGTTCTCTAAATAGCTATCCACATAGAGGCAATGGCCAAACTCGTATCCATTCTTTATGTGAATTCGGCTGTGTTTCTGCAAATGGTTTGACGTTTTAAATGCCTTCTTGCATTCTTTACACACATACGGTCTTTCATCTGTATGTATATTTTGGTGCAGCTTGAAGTCACTATGAACAGCAGTAGTGTAACTGCAGTGTTGGCACTTGTACATTTTGAACGCAGACAAATCGGAAGGCCACATATCCTTTAAGTTTTCCACGAATCTATGATATACATCATCATCTTGAACTTGTGAATGAGAGGCCTTGGAGTTGAAGAGAGATTCCTCTTTGCAAATGACAGTGTCCATTTTGTATGAATTCAGAGGAATTTGTGATCTATTCCCACTAACAGGTAAGCTGTTGCTTCCATGGCTGTTTTCCGGCAATTTCTTTCCAGAGCACATTTTCTTCTTGTCCCACACATCGCCTGTCCGCTCAAACTCTACTTCTGAAGCCAGCATTCCCCCACCGAGACAATCATTTTCTTTACCAGAAAGAGACAGAGAAACACGATCCTGGGAATCACTGTTAACTTTGCGTATTTTGCTTCTGCGATACTCCTTGCTTTGATTCGTGTAACCATCACCAGTAGCCTTAAACTGTTTGTGACATTTCTTATGAAAGCTGAGATGTCCTCTAGTATAAAACACCATGTTACACTCATCACATGTGTAATTCTTTACAGGTCTTTGAGTTCTCTTTCTTCTGCTTATGAATTCCAGTTGCTGCCTTTGGCATGTTTCTTTGCCTGCATGTAATCTGCTGTGTCTCTTTAACCCGGTGGTGCTTGCGAATGCTACCTGGCAGAACTCACAGGAATATGGTTTAGCCCCTGTGTGTATGTAGCTATGCCTTACCATGCTTGCAAAATATAATGAAAAAAAGGTGCAAAACCTGCACTGGTAGAGCTTATAGCCAGCATGCCAATACATGTGATTTAACAGATAGGATAAGCTAATGCAGGAGTAATCACATTGAGGACACTGGTAAGGTGGTCTCTCTTTATGTCCCTTCACGTGACGAATAAAAATCCTAGGATTTGTTGAAGCAAAGAAACAAATTTTGCAGGAAAAACTAACCGGCATACCCAGAGGTGTAAAGTCCCTTTCAATTTTGATGAAAAATTTCTCATATTTACTTTCTTTTTTCTTGGTCTCAGATTTTCTTTCTTCAGATCTTCTCTGCCTAACTTTTCTCGCATTCATTCTATTTTTTCTTGCCCTTTGCAACTTAGTCATTTTCTTATGAAATTTAAGGTGATTCTTAAGATTGACATGAAAGAAAAAGGTCCTTTTACAAAAGCAACATTTATGTATTTTCTTATCTTTATGTGCTGAATAAACATGTTTCTTTAGATGTGCACTGCATTTATATGCACAGCCACAAAACCTGCACTTCAGTCTTTCCTGCTTATTTATAAAACAAGATGCTTTAGAAAGAGGTCTGATGGTCACACTATTACTTAGCCATGCTAAACCCTCTTGCTGGCTTTGCAGTTCTTTTGGGCTTACATGAGGAGAAACCACATTTTGCTGCTGACATCTTTTTTTAGGAAATGGTGTTAATATCTTATAAATATGCTGTCCAGTAGTATTTGATTCAGCAGAAGTGGAAGCGATCATCTCCAGTTTCCCTACGTCTTCTAGCAATTCTTCTGAAGTAGGAGAACGTCCATTAAGAAACGGAGCAGAACAATTATAGGTAAATTTCACTTCTTCTTTCAAGCCATGTTCCAAATGTGAACTCAGAGTTTCATCTTCAAAGTTGCTTCTCTGTGTTTTACTGTTAATAGCTTCATTGTCTCCATTCTTTGAAGAACCAAGATCTACAGAGGGATAAAAAGTCACATGCGTGACATTTTATACAATCACCAATATTCACGATTAATTGGTCATAATAATCCCAAATTGTCTAACTACTATCTCCACTTCTTTCCCAACGTCCTTCTCCATGCTTTCCCCGCCAAACCTTAAAAAATATTTTAAGAGAAGAAATCCAGGAGCCTCCTTCTTTCCACTTCCTCTTTTCACTCAAAGCTCTAAATTTCACAGGACAGGACTGCATCCCCTACAGTCTTCAAAGAAACAGCTTTATGCCAGAATTCCTGTGAAAGTACTGTCACCAAACTTTGCTAGGCCTCCATTCTCACAAGTACAATGGTCCTTCTGCTGTCTTCTGCCTGCTAGCAGGGAGAGTACTCTTAGTAATTCTCTACGCCTTTCTTGCTGAACGTCTTCCATCTGCTACATGGAATAGTGGAGTCTAAACCTAAATTATGCCTCTCCCAGTCTCTGATTGTATTGATGAGAGTAACTGCCTGTTGGTTTTCTCTCCCTAATATCTCCAGTTGGGACAAAAAAGCCTTTAACCCAAGTTTTTATTTTCACATCACAGAATCACAGAATGGTCGGGGTTGGAAGGGATCTCTGTGGGTCATCTCGTCCAGCCCTCCTGCT